TCCAGACTTAATTAGTAAAATATCAGAAATCCAAAATCGACCATCATATGGTCTTCATAACCAGCAATAGAAAATAAATTATTTCATGATGCCTTTTCAGCAGGTTTGATTGTTGGGGGAAAGTTCCAAATAATAATGGTGCATCCTTTGTCAAAATAATGAATATAATCAAAGTAGAGAGAGCAAGTTAAGTGGAAATCATCTGCCTCACAGGCACAGGGAGGGGTGGCATGGGGGTATATTGGAGTTCTTGGTGGTGGAAAATATGCATTGGTGAAGGGATGGGTGTTTGATCATTGTATGACCAAGACTTAAACCTGAAAGCTTTGTAACTGTTTCCATGGTGATTCAATAAATAAATTTTTTAAAAAATCTGGATTAGGAGTTCAGAGAAGGGGGACCATAAGGGCTAAGTACCTTAGCTGCATATCACAGAGTACCTGATTATGATGTCAACATAACTTTTTTTTCTTTCTTTACTCTAAATTTTAGAGCCACGTCCATCAATGCTCAGGGTTTATTCCTCGTTCTGCACTCAGAAATCACTCCTGGCAGAGACCAGGTGCCAGGGATCAAACTCAGGTAGGCCACATGTAAGACAAGGGCTTTACCTGCTCTTTTATCCTTCTGTTCCCATCATCTTATCTCATGTATTGATTTATTTTTATTTATTGAGGCTCTGTGATTGACAATACTGTTACTGGGGATTTCCCATGCACATAATTCCAACTTCAGCTCCATCACCAGTGTACCCACCTCCCTTACCCCATATTGTTATCTTTGATCCAAATGAATCAACAAGCATTGAGTGTTCCATGCAAGGGTCCACACAGACATGAAGGAGACAGGTGGACGTTTGGAATATAGGAGGGAATCAACATTGAGCCAGCATGTGTCTTTGACAGGGAACTCGATCTCAATGGTGATGATGGTGAAAAATAAAAAAACAATGAGTCCAAAACAGGTGATACACAAAGTGGGAGCCTTCTGAGATTTTGTCCACTTTGCATGCAGGTCCATTTATTTGAGCCAGAGAGATAGTGTAGCAGATAAGGTGGTTTGTCTTCCATGTGGCTAACCCAGGTGTGATCCCTAGCACCTCATATGGTTCCCTGAGCAATGAAAGAAGTGATCTCTGAGCACAGAGTCAGGAGTAACCCGGGCACACCCAAGCATGACCCCAAACCACCCCCCGCCATCTATTTATTCATTGAATAGCTATTCTTAAAGTGAACACAGTTACAAGCACTGTATGGGATCCTGAGATATGGTGGTGAATGAGACACAGTTTGCTCCTCTGACGTTGTAATGCAGTGAGAAGAGACAAATGTGGCGTATTCATTGTGAGTTCCAGGAGAAAAGTATTTCGGGGATGGAGACCAAGGAATTGTGCCCACCGTGTGCTGGCATCTAAAGGTGTGCAGCAGTTCTGGGTTTTCAGCAGTGCATTAAGAGAAGGTCTCATCAAGAAGCTGATGTTTTAATGCATTGACCTGGTGCTGTCGTCTGTGCTGATTAAGGCACATTGACATGAGGGCCACAAGTGCCCTCATGTCAATGTGTTAAGCCAAGACCTGCAAAATGTGGTGGATAGTGAGGGAGGAAGCCGTGTGGGACAAAGAAATACAAAGAATGCCGAGGTGTGATGTCCAGTAAGTGCAGGACAGTGAGAAGGCTGGTATTTAGGAGGGAGAAGGTAGGAGACAGAGCTTGATAGATCAGAAGGTATGGGGCAGAAGGGGTAGTATTTTGTAAGACCAGGAAAATAATTTGTTTCATGCACAAGTTAGGAAGTTGCCTGGCAATTTTTTTTTTTATTTTGTATTTTATGGGACTGGAGTGATAGCACAGTGGGTAGGGTTTGCCTTGCACATGGCCGACCCGGGTTCCATTCCTCTGTCCCTCTTGGAGAGCTTGGCAAGCTACCGAGAGTATCCTGACCGCACGGCAGGGCCTGGCAAGCTCCCTATGGCGTATTTGATATGCCCAAAACAGTAACAAGTATCACAATGGAGACGTTACTGGTGCCCTCTTGAGCAAATCGATGAAAAACAAGATGACGGTGACAGTGCTACAGTGCCCTTGGAGGGGGTGGGCATCTGATCCCTGTCCTCTGCCCAGTTCCTGCTGCGGAGGGTTTTAGGTCCTGCACAATGGCATAATTGCTCCCCCATCATACTAGAAATAAAAGATTAAAACATCAATCATAAGCTCAGAGAAAAATCTCCATTTGTCATCTATTTTCTCAAGTACTAGAAAATGAATTCAGTACAAAGTATAGGCGGAGTGGAGAGGTTTGGCCAGAGGGATAATACAGAGGATGGGGTGTTCGCTTTGCACGTGCCCAATCAGGATTCCATTCCTAGCATCCCATATGGTCCCCTGAGTACCACCAATAATAATTCCTGAGTGCAGAGTCAAGAGTAAGCCCTGAGCATTGCCAGGTGTGACTTCAAAACAAAACAGAACAAAACAAAACACCAAAGTATATGGAGAGGTATTATTATTTTTATTTTTAAATTTTTATTTATTTGCAATCCACAACTATAAGTGCTCAGCAGCTAGTCAATTTAGATCCTGGGGACCGCGGATGGTACTGGGACCATGCAGTACAGGTGAAGGGGCCTGTCACCTGAGTCTCCTGCGTTCAATACACATTCTCCAGCCCTTAAAACCTTCGTCTGATCTCTAACCACTTATTTATTTATTTATTTTTAAAATAAGGTAGGAGGTAAGGACCAATGCTAGAATTTCTAGAGAGTGAAATGAAATGAACTAGCTAGGCCACTAATTTACAACAACTTAAAAGAGAAATGTACTTCCTACAAGAAACTTTCAGATTAAAAACGAAAAAAATCCTGGTGGAGAAAAATATGCAGAAAAAAAGGTTTGGTTTTATGCGGAAGCTAATAAAAAAAATTATTTTCTCTTTCACTCACATTCACTGGCCACTTAACTTTTAGGGGGGAAATCGATGCTCCTCTCCATGAATTAATCCAAACTCCAGCCTCTACAAATGCACCTTCATACTGTACAGGCACATACATCTTGCTTTTGAAAATCTGAGTTTGACGAGGCTTTTGGCTTTTTTTTTTTTTTTAAATCAGGACTTGAGGCAAGACACAGCAGGAAAAGTGCTCAGCTACAGATGGCTGACCCACCCAATAGAGTTCCTGGAGACCACAAGGAGTGATCCCTGAGCACAGCGCCACGAGTAAGCCCCGAGCATCTCTGCGTGTACTCCCCCAATACTGTAGCACTGTAGCACTGTCCTCCCGTTGTTCATCGATTTGCTCGAGCGGGCCCAGTAACGTCTCCATCGTGAGACTTGTTACTGTGTTTGGCATATGGAATACATCACGGGTAGCTTGCCAGGCTTTGCCGGGAGGGCAAGATACTCTGGGTAGCTTGCTGGGCTCTCCGAGAGGGGCGGAGGAATCGAACTCAGGTCGGCTGCATGGGCCGCACAAGGCAAACACACTACCCGCTGTGCTATCGCTTCAGCCCAATAAATAATAATAATACTAATAATAAAGTTATTGCTGCTGTTCCTGGTGGCTACCAGGAGTGATCCCTGAGCACAGAGCCACCGAGTAAGCCATGAGCACTTCTGGGTGTGGCCCTCCCCAACAAAATAATAGTGGTGGGTTGTTGCTGCTGGCAGTGATCTAGGCTCACAGCAAAGGGCCAAAGGCATAAACGGGAGACCCGACCCACAGTGTGTGTGTGTGCTAGCGTGACTGCAAGGGGACACTGGAGCCCCTGGAGGAGAGGGGCTGCCCCCACTGTGTGTGTGGCGTGCAGTGAGACACTGAGGCCACTTTGTGTGTGTGCCCCTGGCGGAGAGGGGCTGCCCCCAGTGTGTGTGTGTGTGTGTGTGTGTGTGTGTGTGTGTGTGTGTATGTGTGCCCCTGGGGGAGAGGAGCTGCCCCCAGAGTGTGTGTGTGTGTGTGCGCGCGCGCACACGCGCGCCCCTGGGGTAGAGGGGCCGCCCCCACAGAGTGTATGTGTGTGCCACTGGGGGAGAGGGGCTGCACCCACAGAGTGTGTGTGTGTGTGTGTGTGTGTGTGTGTGTGTGTACCTGGGGGAGAGGGGCTGCCCCGGCGGGGCGCGGGGCTGCAATCCTGCGCAAGGACCCCATCAAAGAACAGTACTGCAAAGCACAGTACCGCCGCCCAGGAAAAAAGTAGAGCAACCCCCAGAACCAAGCCTGGGGCGCTCCCGCAGGGACCTGGCGGCGGCCGGGGCGCGGGTGCGGGGGCTGCGGCCAGCTGCGCTCCCGGGAGCGGCGGGCTCTGGGGCGCCGACGCGGCCGGGCCGACCTGCCGGACGAGCCGAGTCCCCGGAAGAGACGGAGCTGCAGAAGCTCGAGCTCCCGAGCCCACGTCCCCGCGGCGGCCACGCGCGGGCGCTCCGGCCCCCCGACTCTCGCGAGCGCGCCCCGACTTCTCGCCCGGGCGCCGGCCCAGGAAGGGCGCTGCCCTCTTCCAACATGGCGCCGCGGGAGGCGGGTCCGCGGCCGGGGCTCCCGGGGTTCCGGCGCCGCGCGTTTTGGTTCCGGAGTAACTGTGGCCTCACCGCCCCTTCTTCTTCCTCCTCCTCCTCCTCCTCCGCCGCCGCCTCCGCCTCCTCCTCCTCCTCCTCCACCTCCTCCACCCGCCGCCGCCGCTTGCACGCACGGCCCGGGGTGGCCGGGCTGAGTCCAGCTCGGCGCGGGGCAGCGGGATCTTCCCGGGTCCTGCTGCGGAGGGTCTCCCGCGCCCCCCCGGGGCCCCCGCGTCAGTCCGGCACCGAGCCCCTCTGCAGTCCACCTCCTCCCGGAGTCCCCCGGGGTGGACGGCACCTGCCACTGTGGTCTCCCCGCCGTGTCCGCACGCCTCCCTCCCCCCGCCCCGCTTTGCCAGCTCCAGCCCCCCGCCGACCCCGCCCGTGCCCCCCGGGCCCGCTCCCCTGCCCTGGGCAGCGCGCGCTCGGTGCCGACCACCCTGGTTCCGAGCGGCCCACTCCTCAGCATGTGAGCCCCCGGCCCCTGGAATGCTGTGGCTGGCCCTGGGCCCCTTGCGTGCCATGGAGAACCAGGTGCTGGTGATTCGCATCAAGATTCCCAATAGTGGCGCGGTGGACTGGACCGTGCACTCGGGGCCGCAGTTACTCTTCAGGGACGTGCTGGTGAGTGGGAGCGTCCGTGCCTGGAGCCCAGCCCGGGCGGGTGAGGGACGCAGCGATTGGAGGGGGAGGCGGCTCCTTGATTGACCCCAGAGGCTTCCCTGGGTGGCCTGAGCTGCAGTGTGGCCGCCGCCGGCCTCCTGCGGGACTTGCTGGACCGCTGTGACCGCGGGCACTGATGAATTGTGGGGCTGAGAGCTGGCGAGAGCGTGCAGGGCCCCCGGGATGCGCATGAAGCGGACTGAACCCCCGCTGGCAAGGAGTGTGCCCCACGGAGAGCGGACACACACACACACACACACAGACACACACACACAGAGATATAACCTGGACTGTGAGGGGGACACAGACAGACAGACATGCAAACACAGCTTGAAACACACAGATAAACACACAGCCTGGATTGGGCCTGGACACAGACACACATACACACAGCCTACACTGGGGTGGGGAGACACATACACACACAGGGATACACACAACACAGAAAACACACATAGCCTGGTCTGGGCCAGGGACACAGCCTGGAAGGGACACACACATACACAAACACACATACATACACACAGATACATAGCCTCGACTGGGACAGGGACACAGACAGACACACAAACACAGCCTTGACTGGGACCGGGAGACACACACAGACACACACACAGAAACAGCCTGGACCACACATATATACACACAGACATAGCCTGGAAGGAACACACACACACACACACACACAAACAAACAGCCTGGACTGGGCCAGGACACACACAGACACACACAGACACAGCCTGGACCACACATATACACGCACACAGACATAGCCTGGAAGGGACACAGATACACACACACACACACAGCCTGGACTAGGCCAGGGATACACATACACACACATACAGCCTGGACTGGATTGAATGGGGACACAGGTGGACATACATAGACACACCTGGACCACACACATATATACACAGACACAGCGCGGAAGGTACCACACCGCACACAAACACAGACATAAATACATACATATACATATACATACATACATACACAGACACAGTCTGGACAACTCACACACACACACACACACACACACACACACAGCCTGGACTGAGCTGGGGACACAGACAGTCCCTCCACCACACTCACACCTCCCACACTCACATACACTTGGTCTCATATGCTCTGCCTCCACCCCCCACCCTGGTGTTTCCTGGACCAGCCCTGGCCAGATCCCATATCTCTGTGCTGTCTTTTTAGTGCGTTCCTTGCCCTTCGGACCCATGTGGAAGGGAATTTTCTTAGAGCACCTAAAATATCACTGGCTTTGAGATACTACTTCATGGACCACTCAGAAAGGCAAAACCCAAACAGCACTCATCCATCTCCATCTCCTGACTCACAGTGTTGTACATGCACAGCCTGGGGTCAGTGGTGAAAGGAGGGGAGTGCCTCTTAGGGGCAGTGGGCCCCTGAAAGGGATTGCGTATGCCACCTTGGAATGGAGGAGTCGAGGAGCACGGGGGTGCATTGGAGATGGGCTGCCTCCCTCTCCTCCCCTTGCTCCCCTCCATCTGCCTCCTTCCTGACAGAGCAGTGGTGAAGGAAATTGGCTTTTCCATTGGGGTGGGAGGGGCGCAGGGGAGAGGGTGGCAAGGTGGGCTGGAGGGGGGTGGGGGAGGGGTTGGGGAGGAGGGGACTCAGACCTCAGATTTCTTTACTTTGCAGAGATTTTTTTCCACATGTGTCTTTTCACCTATTATACATTTACATTAGAGAGTGTTGTGCTCATTTCATATACTGAATAACAGGTATAAGGACAGAACTTAGGCCACGATGAATGTTGAAAGTTCCAGATGGGCAGTGGAAATTCTAAGATGGGCAGGGGTGGGAGGAGAAGACCTGTAGTAGGATTATTTTTGTTCCTTTGTTTTGTTTTTGCGCCACACCTGGTGGTGCTTAGGGATCCTTCCTGGCAGACCTCCGGGAACTAATGTGGTGTCAGGGATCCAACTCTGGTTGACTGTGTGCAAGGCAAGTTTGCTGCCCACAGTACTACCTCTCCAGCCCTCTGTGATAGAATTGTTTGTTTTGGTTTGGGGCTTTTCCTGGCTTCCTAGTGCTATACTCGGTCAGACCTGGGCCTTGTGCAGGCAAAGCATGTGTCTAGCCCCTGGAACCACCTCCCTGGCCCCATGGGCGGATTTTTTTATCATCAAGGGTGACTGTCAAAATTTGGTTCCAGTACCTTCATTTTAACTTCAAGACTTAACTGACCACTTAGAGTTGTGTTTTTGGAACTTTTTATACCTGCAGATTGGAGAAATAAAAATATTTCATGATCCTCTTGGAAGGAGCAAAAGCCATTAAAATAAGAATATTTATACACCAGTATTTATGATGCTACCATTCCGTGATCCAGTGTGCTACGGGCTAAAACGGTACTTCTTTACAGATTGGCAGAAAGTTTCTGTGGACTACACCTGTCTGGGCCCTGGTGGTTGACAGCCACTGAGCTAAAGCATTACAGATGTCACAGATGTCCTTGGTGTCTGGTGTTGGGGCCAGTAGTGCAGCCACTTGAGTGAACCAGCAGCCTCCAGGCTTGTCCCCTAAATGCCATCATTCTCTTGCATGTGGAATTCTCTCCATTCCTACCCATAGATGTTTCCTAAGGCCGAGACTCCTTTACATGATCTCGGCCACTCTGAATTGGCCTGTGCCTGTCTGCTCTGGCTCCATCCAGCCTCAGACCCCTTGCTCACATCCTGTGCCCAGGGAGACAGCAGGGCTGAATTCAGGGGCCCACCTCCCATATCCTCCAAACCCAGCTTCACTGTGTTTTCATGGATACAGCCTTGGTTCCCATCCTCCTGCTGTCTCCCCATCACTTTGTTCTCCAAGGTACCCAAGCTTGATCATCATGTCCTGTTCTCTCATTCCCTCAGTGGTAAACCAGAGCCCATGGGTGCTATGCCTTTGCTGTTCCTCGTAGTTCCTAGGATCCTACACTGTTATTAATGAGAGAGCACAAAGAAAGAATCCCTCAGTGACCAGGTTAGGGACCGCTGGGCAGGGTTCTCCCCCCTTGATTTAAACACTATGGTCTACACAGTTCTTCATGATGTATTTGTTACAGACATTTGATATTCCAACCCCAGTCCCACCACCAATGTGATCTTCCCTCCAGCATTATTCCCATTTTCCCAACCACCCCTCAAGTCTGCCCTCTTAGCAGGCACAAAATAATTTGTTTTGTATTGCTCGTTACAATAAAATGGCTAATGGAATTATCAAAAAATCCTTCCGTGAAAGAAAATTTGTGAAAGTTGTTATATCTCACCAGGGGGTCATTAAGTCCTTGTCTGAGGGTTTACTAAGCTGTTGTTGACGCCTAGCATGTTTGAAGCAAGAAGTTGAGGGGCTGGGATATGTTTCAGTGGTAGATCTCGACCTCACATAGATCAGTCCTTGGCGCTTGTGTGGTCTCCAAGCACTGTGTGGTCTCTCGGTGTGACCCCGTAATAACCACCACAACAAAAAGAAATGTGTCCGCTAGCCCACTTACTGGGCAAGCCCCTCTATTTTCCTGAGCCTCTGTTTTCTTCCAAAAATAGGGAAAATGTTACTAGCTTCAAAGACTTGTGAAGGTTGAGTGCGGTTGTGTCTCTGATGAGTAAGACATAAAGTTCTTTGAGGCAACAGGTTGAGCAAAAAGGCAGAGCTTAAACATCCAAAGTTGGGAGTCAGTTTGTCTCTCTTTCGGTGGTAAGCCCTGTCAGACTCACTGGGCAAGTGTCTCAGTACCCTCATCTGTAAAGGAAACCCGGGCTACAGAACTGACAGAAGTAAGGTACATAGAACGGTCTGATTGTTCCTAAGTATCATTGGTACAGTTTAAGGGAGAGGGCCTGAGTCTTGGATTTCTCAAGCAACTTAAGTGATGCCTGACTCAAGGCAGATTGGCCTAAAAGTAAACTTTGCATCAGCTGTTCACCCTCTAGAACTCAAGAGTGCTGTGGATCCTCACTCATGCATGCTTAATCCATCAAAGGGGTGGTGGTAATGAATGCTGTGTGGGCTTCAGGTCCTATTCTAGCAAGTTCTGCAGACAGCAAGACCAGATCTTGGCAGCCCCTGCAATCTTTTATCCTGATTCTAATCTCTTCAGCAAGAAATTGGCAAAATTCCCAAGAGAACAGCATCAACCAGCATCTCTGCCTTCGAACCTTCTTCTTTATTTATTGATTGGTTTATTTTGGGGATAGGCCACACCCAGCAGTGCTCAGTCATGCAGAGTCCTGGCTCTGCATGCAGGACTCACTCCTGGCGATGCTCAGGGCCCACATGGGATGCCGGGAATCGATCCCAGATCACAGCCTACCCATTGTGTTACCGCTTTGGCCCTGAACCTTCACAAATAAAGCCAGATGTGACTAGAAAGTCTACAAGATTCTAGGATCCGAGGAAGTACGAGGAACAGCAGAGGCATAGCACCCATGGGTTCCCTGGGTTCTGGTTTACCACTGAAGGGATGAGACAACAGGGCATGTTGTCTCCACGTCTCTCCTTTCCTCACGCTACTTTTCCAAATGAGGAGGCATGAACCTTAGATGGAGCAAATGCTTAAGTGCTAAAGCATATGGCCAGGTGTTGGTGGACCCAGACGCAGGAGCCGTCTTGCTTTGGTTGTATGGGTCTGCTGTGACCAGGAGGTTGGGATTTGGAATCAGTAGCTGAAAGAGCCCATTGCTGCTTCAAGTATGTTTCAAGAGCTGGTCTTTTGTACCCAGCTGAGGAATAACACTCATGGCAGAGGCATTTTGATCTGCTTTTCAGCTTTCTTCTTTCAGTAGCCCCCAGCTTGGGGAAAATTGTGCAGGAAGTCTCAGTTAGTGGCTGGAGAAAAAGTGCTCCCTTTCCTCTCACTTTTTGATTTCCGTCTCCTAAGATCCTGTTCAGATGCTGTGATTCCCCACCCCCCCCCCCCCATACTCACCCTCTTGGTTTTGTTTTGTTTTGATTTGCCTTATGAGTAAGCAACTGCTACTCGCTATTTATGTCTTTTGTGTGGCTGTTACCATACTGTGAGTGATCTGTATTGTGAGTCTCTTAGGTTTGCCTTGATCTCTGTGACTACATTTGAATCTTCCTAAATCCTATTTTTCCAGAGCTTATAGCTTTGTGAGGTTGATGTGCTCGGTATGTTGTAGATGCTCAGTTACATTTTTGGGGTCATCAGTTATTTGGTTGATTTATTGAATGGAAGGGGAAGAAAAGGATTGAAAAATAAATGGCAGCAAGATAGAAAAGTTGTTTTCTTTAGTTAAGAGGATGTTGAGGATCACTCTGAGGGCCAGAGAGATATAGACTCTTGCTTTGAGCTACTGGTTTGATCCCTGGCATCTTACATGCCCCCCGCCCCAAGTCCCAACAGGAGTGATCCCTGAGTTCAGAGCCAGCCTTGAACATAGATGGGTGTGGCCTAACATAAGTAAAAAAATCAACCAAACAAACAAACAAAAACCCTCTTAAAGAGGGAGAGTCTTTTTGAAATAAGTTATGTAAAACATAGCTGAATGGCTACTCTGGCACGTGACAGAGATGAATGGAGAGTTCCTGGTGCCCACTTGAGCAAATTGCTGAGCAGTGGGATGACAAATGATATAAGTGATACAAAGCATAGCTAGAAAACTAAACAAAGTCAGCAAGTGGGCCCTGCTTAGAATGGGCAGTAGGTAGTGTCAGATGGCCTCTTCCCTCCCCTTGCCATTAGGATAGTCTCTCTTTGTTTGCTTCAGCAAAGCATGATGTCAGCTGTGTGTACATTATTCTCATAATTCTCTAAGCTAATTTGCTTCTTTTCCTTTCTCCTGTCCCCCATATTAGCTCAAGCGGTTCCTTGTTTATTCGAGGACCGAGAAACCAACAGGGCTGGTTTTTTTAGTAGTTTGCTTTTTTTTTTTTTTTTTTTTTGCTTTTTGAGTCACACCCGGCGATGCTCAGGGGTTACTCCTGGCTCATGCTCAAGAATTGCTCCTGGCGGTGCTCAGGGGACCATATGGGGTGCTGGGAATCGAACCTGTGTTGGCCATGTTGGCTGCGTGCAAGGCAGACGCCCTACCCGCTGTGCTATCGCTCCAGCCCAGGAGTTTGCTGTTCGATGGGGTTTGTTCCTCAAAAGTGGGAAGGCACCTAAATGAGTTTACTAATCTGCTGGGTGTGCCCCCCCCAAAAAAAATTAAAAAAATGAAACAACTGTAAATATTTCCAATATTATAATCTTGTTACCTAAACTAAAATACTGTAATATACAGTACAAAAAAGGGGATGGGGAAGGTCCTCAGGAGATACTAGGAAAGGCTGAAGTAGCACTGTCCTCTGATGAATGTTTTAAAATGTCGGGTTCCAAGATGGGGTCAGCTTTGCAACTCACTAACAGTTATTAGCGAATTGTTCTGTCTAGCAGACACCAGTAATGGTGCTTATGATGTGCTAGATCATCTCTTTACAGATATTAATTGATTTAGCTGTATGAGGTAGGTATAATTCCATTCTCATTTTTGCACAGAAGGAAACTGAGCTATAGGATGCCATTATTTAAGAGTAATTTCATGCTCCTTTTTCTTTTCTGGTGGGGGCGCACATCAAGTGCTGCTCAGGGGTTTCTCCTGGCTCTGCACTCAAAAATTACTCCTGGTAGTGCCTAGGGGATCATCATGGTTGCCAGGGATCGAACTTGGGTCAGCCACATACAGCCTTCCTTGCTGTACTATCACCCTGGTCCCTCCTTTCTTACTCTATCTAGCTTACTGCATTCCATAGCTAGTGGCAGAAACAAGGTGGCAGAAACCGTTGGCAGATGTCCTCCATTCACTTTTCCTTATTGTATACTTGCTTGACAGTTTCCATTTGCCCTGTCCACAAATACTTCCTACTTACAACTCTGTAGAAAGGGTGGATTTTTTTTTTTAAAAAAACACTGAGATCTCTTACAAATACTTCCTCAAAAAGTTTGCCAAGATTAAAGTCAGAAGGAAAACATAACTTGCTTTGGCACTAACCCAGGAAGTAGTTTTCATCGATCAGTTTCAGACACAGAGATGGAAGAGTCACAGCCCACAGTGCTCAGGGTTGGCACCTGGCTCGGTACTCAGGAATCACTCCTGGTGGGCTTAGGGAACTATATTGGGTGCCAGGGATCAATCCTGGCTTGGCTGCATGTAAGACAAGCGGTGTATTGACAAGCGGTGTATCTCTCAGCACCCCTTACTGATTTTTTAGGGAGTGGGGAGGGGAGAGAAAGAAAAGAAACCAAAAGCAGAGCATGGTGACAAAACTGTTGTGCAGAGTGCCATTGCAAAGCACGGGCAGCTGGGACTATGTCTTGCATGCTAGTCTACAATCCAGGGTTCTGGAAGTTCTGACCCAGCCCAGGAGGGGAGAGTCGGGGTGCATCGAGCTCCCCCAGAGCCTGAGGTTTTTGGGACCTTTGGGTTGGACTGGATATAAGAGCAATACCCTGTTCCTCTTTAAGCTTTCTTGAGACTCATTTTCAAGGGTTTTCAACTTTATTAGGTCACTTAAACATGGATATCAGATCATACACTTAAGAAATTTTTGCCGATTGAAAGCTTTTCAGTGCTTAAGAGTAAAGGTTGATAAGAATTGTTTGCAGTCTCCTCCCCCGATCCCCCCCCCCCCCCACCAAGAATGATCTCTGAGCACCTGCCAGGTGTGGCCCCCAAACAAACAAAAAAGAAGACTCGTTTGTTGCAGAAAGATTGCCATCGGCTTTGTGAGTCATCATGCCTAAATGTTGCACTGTAGCACTGTCCTCCCATTGTTCATCAGTTTGCTCGAGCGGGCATCAGTAATGTCTCACAACAAATTGTGAGACTTGTTGTTATTGTTTTTGGCATATTGAATACATCACGGGTAGCTTGCCAGGCTTTGCCGTGCGGGCGACATACTCTCGGTAGCTTGCCGGGCTCTCCGAGAGGGGCGGAGGAATTGAACCTACCCGCTGTAGTATGCTCCAGCCTAAATAAAGATTTGTAAAAGAATATGTCACACACAGTATCCTCGAGCCAGAGTGATAGCGGGCTGGCTCGCACACGGCAGACATGGGTTTTATCCCCAGCACTCCATAGAGTCTCCCAAGCACCGCCAGGAATATTCATGAGTGTGGAGCCAGGAGTAACCCCTGAGCATTCCCAGGTGTGGCCCCAAAACAAAACAAAACGAATGCAGGGTAAAGGCTGGAGAGATTGTACAGCAGATAAAGCGCTTGTTTTGCACGCGGCTGTCCTGGATTCAATCCCGGCCACCCTATATGGTCCCCCTGTGAGCCCAGCTAAGGGTGATCTCTGATCACAGAGCTAGGCGTCAGCCCTCAGCACAGCTGGGTGTGACCCCATACCCCCACAAAAAAGTGCAGGGTCAGGCTAGTTACATTATCAGGAACTGCATTTGACTGTTCCAGTGTGCTCGATTCGCTTGTGCCTGTGCTATCAATTAATTTTCACTTTACCACTTTAAGTATCACTGGTTTATATTGGAGGATAATCCAGTTGAGGCTTTAGGTTAAATAATTTGTTTCCACAGCCGAGAAATGCAGAGTCGAGATGCTTACTTACCCAGGCCACCTGACTCCCCAGTTTCTTACTTTTTATATCTTAATACATTCTGTGGCCTCTCAGTTTTCCTTCCTTCCTTCCTTCCTTCCTTCCTTCCTTCCTTCCTTCCTTCCTTCCTTCCTTCCTCCCTCCCTCCCTAAATATATGATATTGTATTTGAAACAAAAAATATAATAATTTGGGGTGGGCATTTGGGTTGAGCACTGGGGAGTGAAGCCTCCTACCTAGGGCATCTGTGTCTTCCCCCAGAGTTATTCCCCCCCCCCCCCGAAAAGCCAAAGGTTACATTATTAATTGGCAGCCGAGAGGAGTGGGCCGTCGGAAGCTTTTCCCTCTCCTTTAATAGGGATTTCAACCCTGGGATACATTGCTGGGCAAAGTGTGATTTTGAGCCACTGTGTTTATGGTTTATGCCAACACTTCAGAAATATTTTCCAGGTTCTCCTATTTCCTCCAGGATTTGCCACATGTTAGCAATAAAGAAGATGGCTAATTGCGTTTCTTTATTCTCTCTCCGTTTAGGATGTTATAGGCCAGGTTCTGCCTGAAGCAACGACCACAGCGTTTGAATGTGAGTCTGGCTTGAATACTTTCTTGGACTATTTCTCTCTGCAGTAATTTTTCAAGGGTTTATGGGTTGCATTATTTTAGAAACTGACAAAAACATATTATTTATGACCATCATATGGTACATTTAAATATTTATAAATTAATGCAAGTTTAATGATGATACTAAACTGAGTAATATTTTCTTATTTAATCATATCTTGGGTGTGCATTATTTCTATAATATAGCTTTAATTACCAACGTGACCTTTATCTGCTCTTGCTCCTTGCTGTAATAATATCGCAGGGCAAAATGAAACGTGTAAACTACCTGTGGGCCAATGATTATTGATTAAGAGGCCTGAGCTGGTTGCTGCCTTAAACCAACAACAGAGGAAAGCAGTTCAGTGAACATTGCCGGGAACGGCTGTTTGGTGGCACTTGGCATGGCAGTAAATGATGACAATCCTGCTTTGAATCTTCAGCCCAGCTTCTGCCTCCCCTGAACCAGGGGACTTGGGGTGCACAGTGTACCCTGAAGCTGGTCTGGAGGTGATTTCGGGGGAGGCCAGCACCCGAATCAGGGTGATGTGAGGATTGTCAGGAACACAGACACGCTGGACCCATGGAGAGTACAGTACGGGCTCCAGACTGTAGTTCCATCTTGTTTTTGACTCAAAGCCATGTTCAACTTGGAAAATTGTGTGGTTCTTCCTGATGACAGTGTGCTCTTTTTGTTGTTGTTGTTGTTGTTGTTGTTGTTTTGATTTTGATTTTTGGGCTGCGCCCAGTGATGCTCAGGGTCTGTTGATGGCTCTGCTCTCAGGAATTACTCCTGGCAGTGCCAGGGGACCATATGGGGTGCCAGGAATTGAACCTGATTTAGCCACATGCAAGGCAAGTGCCCTACTCACTGTGCTATTGCTCCGGCACCAACAGTGCATGCTTTGTTCTTGTTTTTTTGGTTTGTTTTTGTTTTTTGATTACACCAGGCAGTGCTCTGGCTTTATGCTCAGGGATCCCTTCTGACAGGGCTCAGGGGACCACATGGGATGCCAGGGATTGAACCTGGGTTTGATGTGTGCAAGGCAAATGCCCTCCTTGCTATACTGTTGATCTGGACCCTGTTCTTTGCTGTTGTTGTTGTTGTTTTAAATGATGGCCAGTGGGAGAGAGGGCTGTGTCCTCTCTTTGATTGACCGTCTGATTGAAGGCCCCTTTAGCTCTATGCACCAGAGTATATACAGCCTTGGGATTGGCCCTTCTGCTTTTAGAAGGCTGTCCCACAGAAATGGCGTGTGTCATATACCACTCATGCAAACTGTTTGTGTAGAATTGGTTAAAATAGCAAAATCATTTCCTGGCAAACTGCATGTCTACAATAATGGCTTAATAGATTATCCATTCTCTGTAGCGTTAAGTGGTGACTGAAGGCAAGAGTGGTCAGACCTTCCGTTGATAGGGGAACGCCTGCGATACATTGCTGAGTGAACTCGTAGGTCTGGTCTGAGCCCTGTTTGTGAAGTGCAAATCCCTCCCTCCCACTTGATGTATGGAGAGATGGGAACCCCAAGAGTGCGGTGAGCATGGCAGCGGTCTCCTCTGGACGGCAGGCAGATGGGCTGGCAAGGGGAAGAGGTCCGTGAACGCACCTTCTTTCCCCCAGATGCTCATTGTTGTCTGAACAGTTTTCTACCATCATTGCACATTCTTAAGAGCTGCTGTAAGTGGGACTCTTAAAATAATGAGTATTCACTAACCACACTGGGCACAATACATTAGTGAAGAGGAAGCAGAGCCTGTAGCCGTAGGACATTTCAGTGTTGAAACTGCATTCAGACCTCCCGGGGTAACTCCCGGGGGCTGCCAAGGATTTCGTGGACATCGTGGTAGTCAGCACTTGGAGCCCTTCCTGCAGCCAGCTGCCATGCTAAGTGTACTCCCTGGGTTAGCTCACTGAGCTCAACCTTCTCAAGACCCCCACGACGTCCTCTGAAGGACTTTTGGTGCAGGTGGAGTTGGGAGGGGCATTTCTGAGCAACTTGCCCAGAGTCCCACAGCTGGCTAGGGGCAGTATGAGAGTTTTGGAGTAGACTCTAGAATACGCACATGTATAATACACACACATGCTCACATACATGCACACACATGCATAGGCACGCACATTGAATCCTCCACTACACAAATCCTTCTTGAAGTCACGAATTTTGATTGTTCTTAGTGTGATGGAGAAGAAACAGTATGTTGCCGACTTTTGACTTTTTTGGGGGTTCCCCAAAGCAGCTCGATTCACCCATATCCCTCTGGCAGGGTTCTGGTTCCCAATAATAATTTTTGAGTGCTTGTCCTGTGCCAGTTTACTGGATGATCTGCCTGGATCATTGCTAACGTATCCAGTTCAGTGAGATAGGAAATTAAAATCTATGAAAAAGTTGAACCTCAGAGATCAGAAAGGATGGCCAAAGAGATTGGCACGGAAGTGATGGCACTTTTAGTTTTTTTTTTTTTTTTAATTTCCTGCTGGGAATTAACCCCGGCATATGCTGTGCAACCAACTCACATCTTTAGCCCCTGTAACATGCTCTCTTTAAAAAAAGGGGACATTCCTGGCAGAGCATGGCCAGACTCCAGTCTGGTGGTAACCAGGCCAATGGAACCTCACTTGGTAGTGTCGGGGCCACCAGGGCTGAGGAGGGCAGTGCTACGGAGAGGAGGTGGGTGCGTTGGCATGCCGTGCCAAGAATGGACTCGAAGCCTTGCACAGGCCAGGCATGTGCTCTGTCACGGGAGTGCCCCACAGCCCCATGTAATTCTGGGTAATTATAGAGTGTGTGTCAGAAGCATGCAGTGTGTTTGGATTGCTTGGATGCGGTCAGCATCTTTTTGTCTCCCTTTCGTAGGAAAACACAGAGGCCAGTGCCACCCAGCTGGCCATGTGCCTGTTTCTGTCCTCACTAGAATTTAAAGGGCTTGGTGACAGGTTTCCTGTTTTATTTCATTCTTGCTCCCATCCTACTTGTGTCTGGTAGGAATACCCTCATCGAAGAAAATGCAGTGTTAGTGTGTGTATTCAAAGGATAATTAATGCATATGATCTACAGGCTAGTCAGTACTTTGCTTTGCAGGGGGCTGATGGGGGGGTGATATCTTCACATTTGGCTTCCCACGTTCAAGAAGGCAGAGGGTGTGCGACGGTCCGCAGTGACTGTGTTCTCTTTGATTCCTGTGTCTGGAATTGTTTTCTCCCAGGGCATTAGGGCTGACGGTGGGGAGGCCAGGCACGGTCTGTGCTGAATTCCCTCTTGCACTGATGACCCTAAAAACACTTTCTCTTTTGGCCTTATGCAGTCCTTTCTCCCTTGCAGTAAATGCAAGTGAAAGTACCTTGTAGTGTCGAGTTGGATTTTTCTTTGATTAAGAAGGTATAGGTGAGCTTTAAATTTTTTTCAGGAGATCAGTTTCATTTGCTTAGATGCCTACATTTTGCATCATGTTATGATTGTAGCTTAAGTTCTCTAACCTAGTGTTGGACCAGTTTTCAGCTGTACTAGGTTTTTGAATATTGAGAAAAATTTGCAGTATGGACTTATTATCATAAGTTATTATTTTGACCCTATTGTACATTCAAATGTAGGACCAGTTTGTACACCCACTAACAGTATTTCTGGATGCACTTACCTTTCTATCCTCCCCGTTCTGGATTTTCAGAGTTATTGGTCAATGTTAGTACTGTTTTACTTTGTATTTCTTCTGTTATAAATGAGTGAGCATCTTTTAGTTTGTATTTTGGTAATTTGTGCTTAATTTCTGCCAACTGTCACCTCTGACCACTTTTCTGTTACCATTTCTTTTTCTAATTAAGAAAATTACCCTCTTGTCTTCACTGTAACAGATATTTGTGTTAGTTTATTACTTTCCTTCTAGCTTCTTTTAGTCTTTTTTTTCTTTCTTTTTTTTAAGGAAGAATTTAATAGGTTTTACATGTTTAGGTTTAGGTTTTTCTTTGTGACTTCTGGACTTAGCACAATGCTTTGGATGGAAGTCCATATTAATAGGATGTTAAATTCTTTTCGTTCTACTTTAATAAGTTAAGCATGCATGCATATTAGGTGGGCATATAAATTTGTACTTTCTCAAGGATGTTAGAGTAGGATATTTGTGGGGGTGGGCTTGGGGCCCCACCTGGTGGTGCTTAGAGGCTACTCCCCGTGGTACTCTGAGACTCCGTGTTGCCAGGGATTGAAGTGGGGTCAGCTGCTTGCAAGGCAAATGCCTTACCTCTTGTACTGTCTCTGCAGTATTTGTGTGGATGTTTTGGTTAAAATTATGTGTGTGCATTTTCACGGCAAATTTTAAAACCTGTTTAGAATTCTCATACCATCTCCAGCTTCTTTTGGTGAAAGAAGGTATCAGATGGGAAGCCAGCCTTATTTCCAACCAGAGGGAGAACTGACTCCACATCAGTGATTGAATAACCCCAGACAATCTTGCGCGCTTGCATGTCTGGGCCCTACATATGCTCTAGGAGCGTGACTTTCACACAGGCCCGATGACCCCCGCTGAGCCTCACAGTTTCATTAGCAGATTAATGAGCGCCCCAACATATGAGGTGATGGAAATCAGCTGTGCCCACTAATGAGGTGCCTGGGCGTCTGTTCCTGGGCCTCTCCCTGGAGCTTCTCTGTAAACAGCTCGCTGCCGTCAAGTGATGGGTGGTCGCTGTGCTGGATGATAAACCTTCCCGATGACTCGGAAGATACACTTTCAGTTTCCGTGGACACATACTGGCATGTTCCTGCCACATGGAGTCCTTACACGTACTAGCCACGTGAAGCCCTTACATGCATCTGCCATGGGAAGTCCTTACATGTGTCTGCAACATGGTCTCCTTGCATGTATCTGCCACGTGATTCCTTATATGTATTAGCCACGTGGAATCTTACATGTATCTGCCACGGGAGTCCTTACATGTATTAGCCACATAGAGTCCTTACGTGTGTCTGCCACACGAGTCCTTACATGTAC